TATCAATACAGTTATTAAAATTAACCCTGTATAGCATCAATAAATTCGTCCTTTAATTAATGATACAAATCGAAAATTGATTAATCGAAAATTGATTAATCGAACATTGATTAATTGAAAATTGATTATTGAAAATTGATTAATTGAAAATTGATTAATTGAAAATTGATTAATTGAAAAGTCGACCAAGCTAGCAGCCAACCAACTTAAACCTTTTGATTAAACTTTAGAAAAAATTTTACCAACTATACAATACATCATGTGACTTGGCAGTTAACCAATAAACGTTAAAAATATATAACGATAATAACTAAATCCCAACCAATTTACGATTGTCGTCGAGCACTCTGAAATGTGTATTACAGATTTCCTGGAGATTCCAAGATTAGGTGCAACGTAACACTATTACGTAGGAAAAACAAGAAGTTGCTTCTCATAAGAAACTGCTTTTAATGCTTTAATAAAAAGTTTCTTTGATCGATTTTACTATGTTGTTAATTCCTAACCCTAGTGTAGATGCTAACCTTATCTAAATTGAACTTTAAAGAATTTTTCTGCACTACAAACCTGGAACCCATTTTAGAAGTTTGTCTAATTGGTTAAATTCTATAGATCTACAAATTAAATAATTTTCAAGTTCGATTATATATATAGAAAACAAAAAAAACTATCCTGAGATAAGAATAAAGAATAAAAAACAATTATTCGTGATCATCAGGTCCAGACACAAAAACTTCAGATAAATATAGTAAAATACGAATACGTAATAAAATATTATATAGCACCATATTAAAAAATACGTATGTATACGTAGTACGTACTAATGATCGGAATCTTTTATGTACCATTAGTTGGTAACTTAGTTACTATTAGCTGTAGCATGATCTAATTTTATTGGTTAACTCTGTAATTACATAATTGGTTGAAAATTTTTTCTCCAAGGTAGATGTTCATTCAACACAGTTACCAACTTTTCGATTAATTGATTTTCGATTTGTATCACTATATCTGTACAGTATATATTTAAATTTTTGCAAAAAAAAAAAAAAAAAAATTTTAGTATGCAAAAAAAGTAGTTTTTTTTTTTCCGATTTTTTACCTTTTCCAATTACTCCTAATCTTGTTTTCTGATTGGCTAGAATCGAAACTTGGGGAAATTAGTATTCCTTGACTGTGTATCGATATCGATATTCACAATGCACCAAATATTCAGGAGAACGCAAGCCACGGTCACCCTCAACGCACTCCCGATGCACTAATCAACACAGCACAACTGTTAAAAATTTCTTCTGTAAATTATATGGATTTTACTCTTCATGTCGAGTAATTTAAAATTTATATCCTCACTATACAACTTTATACAGTTATGTATACCGAGATTTCGTACGTAATTACGATTTTACTTCAAGATTTTATACAAATCAAAGACTTTTTACATACAAAATTGACCGAACAGGAGGATGCTTATCACCTAACCTTTATATGGTAATATACAAAGTTGGATGCTGTACGAACTTTACGTCTGTAGATTAATTCCTCATTCACGTGTCACACTTCACATGATGTCGTGTCGCGAAATGACTGGTGCTCAAAAATACTTTAGATATTTTCGCGAAATTGTAAAATTTTGGTTTCAAACGTGTCTAGATTTATTAATTTTTTTAAAATGAAGGTGCTCGGCTTAGATCCGCAACATCAGGCATCTCTATTAAAAGTAATAATTCTAGGTCTCATTGCTGCTGTAGCAATTTCTAGTAGATTATTTAGTATTATTCGCTTTGAAAGTGTTATTCACGAATTTGATCCATGGTTTAATTATCGGACAACTCGTCGTTTGGTTCAAACAAACTTTTACGAATTTTGGAATTGGTTCGACGAACGATCGTGGTATCCGTTGGGCCGTGTTGTCGGTGGAACGGTTTACCCTGGTTTGATGGTGACTTCAGCTACTATACATAACATTCTTCACGCGCTCAACTTTCCCGTTGATATACGCAACATATGTGTACTGTTAGCTCCTTTATTTTCAGCTTTCACCGCTGTTGCTGCATATCTTTTGACTTCTGAAATGAAGGATTCTTCTGCTGGTCTTTTGGCTGCTGCCTTTATTGGGGTAGCCCCTGGTTATATTTCTCGTTCAGTTGCTGGTTCATACGATAATGAAGGCATCGCGATATTTTTACTCATGTTTACCTTTTATTTATGGATCAAATCCCTTAAGGAGGGTTCTGCATTCTTTGGTGGTTTAACTGCTTTATTTTATTTTTATATGGTAGCAGCTTGGGGTAATTTATTATTATTTAATAAAATAGTTTATATTATATATACATAATAGTTTTTATTATTTTGATTCTAACAATTTATCGTTATTCTTAGGTGGTTACGTATTTATTATCAATCTTATCCCTCTTCATGTGTTTGCTCTGATTTTGATGGGCCGGTTTTCCACCAGGCTCTATGTAGCATATTCTTCTTTTTATGTTCTTGGTACTTTAATGTCAATGCAAATCCCTTTTGTTGGATTTCAACCAACAAGAACAAGTGAACATATGGCTGCCTTAGGTAAAAAAAAATATATATATATATATATAAATGTTTTTTTTTTGTTCATAATAGAATAATTCATCGCTTCAATTCACAATTATATATATATATATCTAATTTTTTTTATTTTATTTTT